GTGGGGGAATGCATGGGACTATGGTGGTGGCACACGGGTGATTTGGTGATGGGAAACCCGCGGGGATTACAATCGAGATGGAAAAAAAAATGTGCAAAATGATGTAAAAATAAACTTTTGTAATAATTAAAAAAATAAATAAATAAAATAAAATACCTATATTTGAATATGGAAAACTTTCATGTTAAATTCTTTGTGGATATAGGTAGTTACCAGGAATTGTAATACATATATGTAATTAATGCCATTGTTCTTTGAAGTAGTTTTTTCATGAGTCTATTTATTTTTGCATATGCTTTTTTCATATTATTTTATTTTTGTACTGCCATTGTCCCAATAAATCTGTAGGTTTTTGTCCTCATGTTCCATCTATGTGGCTTTGTTGTTGTTGTTGTTGCTTTTCCAGACCCCTCAGTCCGGTTCCCAAGAAGTGTAATAGTTGATCTACTGTCTTTGAAAGGTTTTTACATATATATGAGTCTTAGAATCTATTCATAGAATACATCAGTCCACATGAAACAAATGCAAGGTTCTACTGCACATAATGATGTGGGAAATTGTTTTTGTTTTTGTTCTGATTAAGAATATATTATGGCCACCTGTCAATATTAGTACCTGTCAATATAGTAAACCTTGTTTGTTTTATATTGTTTATATTATTTGTTTATATTATATAAGGTAGGCTAATATTTACTTAGTTGTATCATACTTTACATAGTTTTATTATTACTAGTTTTATTTAGACTGTGTACAACATAATTTATTTAGTTCTTTTCAGGAACATGGATGGTATTTGAGGTTTTCATTATTACAAATAGTGTTGCAATATCCTTTTTTTTTTTTTTTTTTTTGGTACATCTTAGGTGCTTAGGATGTTTTTCAATGGGATAGTGTCCTAGAATCTAGAGAAACTAGAGTATTAGAGAAACCGTTCAAATGTCAGCTCTATGGAGTTGTTTCTCATCCTTCCTTGTCTTTTTATACTTTCATAGGTAGTTTGTATGTGCTTTTTAGAATTTTCCTGGTTATAATAACTTATATTTGTTATGTTTGTTCCACCACTTGAATGAGGTAGATGGATGCAGGTCAGTACCCAGTTCACATGGGATAATACATTCTCTTGGCCTGTGAATGTGTTAGCATCATCTGTTCCTGCTTTGCTCTTAAAAATACAAAACAAAAAGTACGTGCCTGTGTGATATTTTTCTTAAAAGAGTATAAAAGTCTTAGAGTCCATTAACTGATGATCAAACTGGTAGAAATAATTCAATTTATGGATGAAGATTATAGAAAAATTAGTGATGAGATTACTTTATAGTTGTTTTTGAGGGAGAAAAGGAAGTATATAGAAACTATAACTTGAGATTTTACCATTTCTAATTCTTCATTTGTAGGTGTTTCAGCCTTCACCTGAAGACCATGAAAAATATGGTGGGGATCCACAAAATCCTCATAAACTCCATATTGTTACCAGGATAAAAAGTACAAAAAGACGTCCATATTGGGAAAAAGATATAATAAAGATGCTTGGATTACAAAAAGTATGCAGCCATTTTAGTAATCTTTAGTTTTGTTATCAGTTTGTTTTAAATTTAACACTTTTGAAATTTAAGGTGTACTTTAGTGCTTCTTTTGTTTAAACATATTATTTAGTTTAATTCTAAGAATGTTTGATTTAACCAGCTTAATATTTTATTGAAACATGGGGCCATCTGCTTTCGAAACTACTTATCACATTGTTTCCTTTGTTTATAGGCACATACTCCTCAAGTTCATAAGAATATCCCTTCAGTGAATGCAAAACTGAAAGTAGTTAAACATTTAATAAGGTTTGTTGTTTGTTATTTCAGCAGTTTTTAAAAATTTGTTATCTGGCATAATTCTAAACTCATTTTTTATGTTGCAGAATCAAGCCCCTGAAGTTGCCGCAAGGACTTCCAGCAGAGGAGGACATGGCTAACACCTGCCTCAAGAGCACTGGGGAGTTAGTCGTGGGCTGGCAACTAAATCCTCTGGGCCACAAGGCAGTCAAGCCCTAATGCCACAGCAGTTTGAGATTAAAAGCTGCAACTCATTTTAATTTAAATATGTGAAAAAGGTGTTTTCATTAAAACATATTTTAAATAGTAGTCATTTTCACTGACTAGTTATGATGTGATTCTTCCTTACCATCTCGGTTTCATTGCTATTATTAGGTTTAATTCTTTCCCTTCCCTCCCTAGTAGTTACACTGCAGCATGGATAAGAATGACCCTGTTTGAACATCTAGGATCAGAGGTCATCATAGCAATCAACAGCTGTTTTTTAATAACATTTTCTCATTTAACTGAATTTAACAAATTCTGTGAATGAATTCTTAAAGTGAATACTGTGTTAGGTGTTGGAGAAATCCCAAACTCATTAAAACATGGCCTCTCCCTTCAGGAGCTTATAGTCTGTTTTGCTAGACATCAGAGATTCAGTCAAGTCCTTAAACACTGGACATAGCTAGACCTGCTGCTTTGTGCTTTAGTATCTGTAAGTATAGATATGGGCTAGGTTTCATTGTATCCATAAATTTTATACCAAAAATAGTATCTGCTTTCTAATTACCAATCTGATTTGTCTAAATTAGCTAATATTTGTCTTTCCCCTATTTTATTTCATCTAACCTAATTCCATCCATATTGTAAAAAATCTCCTATTAATAGCTGAGCAGTATTCCATCAGAATATATACCACATATTTTTAATCTATTCATCTGCTCTTGGACACTTAGGTTGTTTCCATAACTTGACTATTGTAAATAGTGCTGCAATAAATGTAGGAGTGATTTTATCCCTTTATATTAGTGTTTTTGTATCTTTCATCTATATAACTAGCAGTGGAATTGCTGGATCTTAAGGTGGATCTATTTTTAACATTTTGAGAAACCTTTATACTGTTTTTTTGTTTGTTTGTTTGTTTTACAGGGGCTGGACCAGTATACATTCCAAAGATTTCCCTTTTCTCTATGCCCTTTCCAACATTTGTTTCTGGTTTCTTGATGAGGACCATTATCACAAGGAGGAAGTAGTACCCCATTGTGGTTTTGATTTACATTTCCCTGTGAGAAGTAATGATGAGCATTGTTTCAAGTGCCTGTTGGCCATCTGTTTATCAGCCCATACTTTTAAAGCATCATTGTCCTGGCCAAACCATGTTACCTACCTGAGCATTGATAGGTAATTAAGATAGGCTTAGCAGAACACCAATAATGTAAAACTCATGGAGTGAAAGGAGGTTTCATGATAGAAAATTAAAGCATTCAATCCCATATAATATGAGAAGCATAGCTCAATAAGCCAGGAAGATGGGTTATCATTCATAGATGAGAATTGTTGGTGAAGACCTGTGGCTTGGACTATGAGGTTTCTTCTGATTTATTTTTTCAATTTTATTGTCCCAGATGCTCATTACCTGAGGGTAATCCTCAGGTTACCCTCCCACAAAAGTCCCCTGTTCTGAGTAATGACACAAGTATATCTATTTATGAGGACTACCCCACTCTTCTAGAATCATGTTAGAGTGTAGAGTGATCTACAGAGGCAATCTGGCCCAACTTCTCATCTTGCAGTTGGGAAAATGCAGTCCTGAGCAATGTGGAAATTGCCCCCAGATACCAACAAGTCAGAGGCAAACTCAAGCAGGTGTTGTGCAGGTGACTGGTATATTCTGAACTCTCAATGTCCTTTGAAGAAAAAGGCTGAGAATTATAATCATGAAAATGTCCAGTAAGAAAAATAAGATAATACTTAATTTTCTGTTTTGAGAACTATTATAAAATAGGCAGCTCTCTGCTCACCTGCCACACACTTCTGTAGTGTGTGTTTTGCACCTATGCAGGTGAATCTCTTTCTCCCTTTCCTAGTAACCTCCCTTTTAAAATGTAAAAAAGAAAGAAGAAAAACTATAATATTTCTTCACCTTCAGTGAGTATTTAGATTTTCAGACACTAAAAAGGAATGATATTTTAGATTGTAGGATATAAATTTAGAGCAATTTATTATTCCTGAAGGGGCACACACACACACACAATGTAAAGATTGAGAATAACTGAAAGAATATTAAATGTAGCCACATTTGAGTCTGACATTTTTAAATTGTTCTCAATACACTCGAATTAACTTGAACAGTAAACTCAGATGGTTTTATTATATCTAATTAGTAATTCTAGCAGATTATGGAGAAGCTTGGCAAGGAGTTCATGAGGTTTAATGAGGCTTATGTACTACTTCCAGGTCCTTACTATGTTACTAGGTCATGGAGAAAGCAAGCAATGCTGGAAGGATATTCCTAACATCTAGGTATAACTAATCTTTGTGAAGCAGATACTTCTAGACACTTAAAGGATTTTTAGATTTCCTCCTGCCAATTCCTGCATTTCTGTGCCTAAACCCTCTTGGAAAAATGTGTAACCTACTTGCATGACCACACTAACAAAGAAGTAACGTATCCTCCTCTCTCAACAGGCAATTCCTCTTAAAAATCATCTTTTGGGTAGAAAAATAGGAAATCTGTGTTTTGCGCCATTCCTTGATATTTGCTTGTAGGGTTGAGCTCCAGTGACTGTAGCGGTAGACAGCTTGACTCATCACTTTCCCTGTTTCACCAAGTCACTTCATACTGGAATTCCCTGTACCTCTCAAACTACCTGCATTTAAGTTCTTATCTCAGGGTCTCCTTGGGGACCAAACTAAGGTATCTTAAGCATGAATTCTACAGAAAATCTCTTGGTATGCCAGTCATAAAGAAAATAACAAAGGAGTGGATTCAGAGTGTAAACCAGTTTATACTACTTGTTTTTCAAATTCTTGGAAATTCCTCATCTAGATGTATGCTTTTGCTTTAGTAGAGATGCTGAGGAAAAGGCCAGGAGAAAGCACTTTCGAGCACAACTGCAAGGATGATAACCAAAACATCTAGTAACTGGTGCAGCATGGCCCTCAACCACTCATAAAATGTGCTGGCTTGTATGCTGCAGGGACTACCACAGCAGCTGATTGGCCATTTGCTCTGCCCAGTTAAAAGCAGGGGTTCCAGTTCTGCTTGAGTCAAGTCTGCAGGGGGTTGGGAAGTCACTGGTGAAAGAATGTTTCTCTGGTTTCTTCCAAGGGGACTTAGAGATAGGTACATATGACTCTGATTCTTTCTCAATGAGAGAGAAGTGATAGGTAGAAACATTCCCAAAATCTCCAAAGGGAACTAAAGACCCAGAAGTGTCTGTGTTGGCAGAGACTTTGAAAGTTTTACACTCCATATTATTTGATTCTTCTGCTGAGTTGAAGCTAAAAGTCAAATTACTCTGCTTTCTTCTAGATAATTATCTCTTCTCCCTTGTGGGTAGTCTGGGCAACAAAAGTAGTCAAGAGCTAGATATGTATATGACTTAAGTGTATGAGTCTCCCTCCTAGAACTATGAACCTGAAACAGAGTGAGGAAAGATTGGAGAAATGTCTTTGAAATTTATGTAGTGAGTACTAATTCATTTGCAGTGGGGATGCTATAAAGAGGGTGGTCTGGTTCCTGCTACTCAGAAACTAGTTTGTCTTCATATTCTTGACCATCTCCTTGGTTTTGTAAATCTGATAGTAATCCTCTAGTGATTTCCTATTATTGCTTAAATTTTCCAGAATTAGTTATTTTTGCTGGCAACCAAAGAACCAGTACTAAACCAGGTCATACAGTCTTACCTTCAGCTATGTTTTGTGGAGAGTGGACCCTTTGAAAGAGTGTCTGTTAGAATCTACTGAAAATGTAAGAAAATAACTCAGTCTCTGTATTTTCATCAAACAAGAGGAAGAAGATGGGAAGTTGGTGTAGGAAGTTGGTGTACTTGATCACTACAGAAAGATCAGCTAAAATTCCATCCCTAACTTTTTCATTTTCCCATGAATTGGCTGGCTTAAGAATCAGGCATTTCTCACATTCAAACTCAGTGGGAAAGGACAAAGGTTCAGTTTAGGATCTCTACTTACTAGCAATTCTGTTAAGACAGGGAATAGGAAGGTCTTAAATCACGGGCTAAAATGAGGCCTCGAAGAACTTACAGATTTCACTCACCATGCTGTTAATAATGTCTACAAAATAGCTATGCATATTTCTATGCACATCTCATGGAATCATATTGTGAACTGTGGATTTTCTTTTGCTTATAGTAACTTGCATTTAAAATTAAGGAGTGGATTTCCTGTCAGAATAAAACCATTCTTTTGCCAGGGTTGGATATAATACATACATATCAAACCCTCCAAAAGGGGCCATTTGAGCACCTACTGACTTGGCCCACCCACAGAATCTAGAAGCTATGTCTTTTATAGAATTTAGCTCTGGCAAGAAGATCATTGACCAAGTCATTGTCTATGTCCATGGGGGTGACAATTGCATCAGCTCCTGACTTATAGGCCGAGAGACCACCTGAAATAAAACACAGTGGTTCAAGTTGAAATATTAATTTTCAGCACAAGTAAGATATGAACATTCCTAGGATGTCAGTTCTCTGAGCAAATCTAAAGCTGCCAGCCGCAGATTCTCTTTCCCTGGATATCCCCCCTGAAAGGAATTGCTATCCCAACAACCACTGAGGAAATACCAAATTGCTTTCCCTCTCTTCTCTTTTTTAAACACTTTTGTTTTACTTATTGCAAAAGTCAGATTTCCTTTTTATGGAGCCAGACTCAACAAAAACACATTTTCAGTCTGAGAAGACTTATAACCGTTTATCAGTCATTCATTAATTCACTTTTATTCACTCACTCATTCGTCCAATCAGTGTTTTTAAGCACCTGCTATGTTCCAGAGTGGGTATGACACTGAATGCAAGGTTCACATACGTATCCAAGACATAGTCATTTCTCCTTGGGGGTATGTGTGTAATGTGCACAAGTATACATATTTTGTACTCTAGGATTTTATTTCAGTAGTTAAATTGTGTTGAACATAAATGTGCTCTGCTCTAATGTCTAGAGGAAAAGACCTCTGTTGTGGATCCCTGCTTTAAGAACTTTGAGCTAGAAAGTAGAAACTGTTCTAAATTAAGGCCCTGTAAGGTGTTAAAAAAAAAGTATAGGAGGGTCTGTAGAAGGTTGACCTAGTAACAATTGGTCTGATTGGATGTGGAGAGAGAAGGAACCAGAGAGCCTAAAAAAACAGGCAGTGTTCTCTACTTAAACATATCATGTTACTAAAGCCCTCATGTTCCTGAGAATGCTGAGAAAGGGGGAAAAAAAAAGATGTTCAAACAATTCAGCTTCTTGCATCTAGAAGAAAATCTATCCAAGAAAGGCAAACAATATTCTTTTAAACTATTAATTCGCAAGGCCTCATTCAATGGATCAATAGCCAGTAAGAGATTGAATTGGAACCCCAACATCTGGCAGATGGGAAAACAGAAGTAGAGAAAGGAATACCACTCAAAGCAGCTCAGCGAGCACAAGCTCAAACTATTGACCATCCCTCAATAACTCTGCCAAGTTGAGTGGTCCCAGGAGGCCCAGGCACATCTGGCCTCACCACTCATTTTAACAACATTTTACAAATATGGCCTACCTTTGAGGTGTTGAGCCACAGTCCACGTGGGGAATTTTTTCTGGATCATCTTAATTCTGTCTGTGAGAATCCCAACAGCCTGCAAAAGGTGTTCTTTGCTGTCCCAGGCACCAACAGGTTTGTAAATTTGTTTATCAAGCTAGAAAATTCAGAAACATTAGCATGTGGATGAAGCAATACATTTTTTCTGCTGTTCCCTACTCTTCTTCCTTGTGTTCAAGTTCAGACTCTGGTGTCAGGATCTTTATGCTCACAAAGTCAATTCTGTAGTAATTTCTTTGACAGAAAAAGAGTCAGAAAGTATGATTTGGGAGAAGTAGATGCAGCATGGGTTTAGTTAAACACTTTAATATCTTATATTATTTATACACGTCATATATATGCACATACCTATGTACATAAATTTTAAAATTGCTTCAAAACAATTAACATCCAGAGTCTAAGACATTTACAAACAAAAATAAAAATTTATTTCTAACTAGGAAGTCTAAAAGTCTTAATTTCTGCAGGCAATTTAAAGTAGGTCTTGAAGGAAATAGCCACAAAGTTTGCATTCCTTTTTACCAATTTGCCAAAAGAACAAGTAGGTTCAAGTAGGACTTAATTACAGTTTTGATCCACATGCATGAGAACAGGATGCCTATAATTGTTCATCTTATAAAATGTTCTTAATTTAAGTACATTGTATATTATTTATTGCAAATTGTAGTTATGAAACTCTGAAAAACTTTTTGGGAAAATAAACAATAGCTGATAAATCTTGAATGAAATGTAGAAGTATATTACAGATATCCCAGTACTAGGCTGGGTAGATGTATTGAAGCCTGTAAGTAGTGAATATGGATTTTTAATTTGGTCGCGCTCTGCAAGGATGAAATGGGAATGATGGAAATCTTCTAACTAAGTACCTGCATCAAGCCAAACTTATGTCCCCTGTGGTCCCAGCCATCTTTCAGGACAGTTCCACCATGGCTTTCTCTGGAGATGATGGCTGCAATGAGAGCTGGGTCCACACAATACCTCAGCCCAACTTCTTTGATCAGAGTTTGGTAAGGCTTTATGGCCCTCAAATCCATCTCAGCAAACATTTCAGAACCACGGATCCCTGAGTCAATAGAAAAAATTCTGTTTCCCCTTCTTCAGAAAAAAAACAACAACATTATTTTTCAAAAATTATCACATTTTTCATAACCTCTAATCCATGCTCACAACTTACGTTGACCATACTATGACTTTCTTTTGGTCTCTGATTATCTAAACCAGAAATAAACCCTGTCAGGCACCACATCTGCCTCCTTCCTCTTTCTTCTCTTTTCTGCCAAACTTGTGTATTGGGGAGGCTTGGAGACTAGAAGTCACCCAACCTAAGTCTGAGTCTGGCTCTGCAACTCCCTAGATTCAGACCCTTGGAAGCTTCTCGATGCTGAGACTTGATTTTCTAATCCATAAATTGAGAGACAGGTCAGACATGGCCCTAGTGCTGATCTCAGCTCTGACACTCTACTACTGTGATTCCATCATAAAGGAGACTTGGGAATAAGAGAGGAAGAACGAAAAGGAAGAGATTTGCTTAAAATGCTCATGTCATAGCATAAATTATATACATTACAAACAGATACAAAAGCGACAATTTAATATTTTATTTAACCTATCATTCCAATATGTAGAAACAAACAAATTTTAAAAGAATGTAGAACACTAAATGAAAAGCAGCAGTTAGGTTGGTCAAGATTCTGCTTTCTGTTTTTAAATTTTAATGTCACTGCTACAGTAATTAATGATTATACCTTTTCAGAGTTAAGCTACTTCCTAAGAAAGTATCTGGGAAGGCAAATGCTTGCTTTGTTTTCCACTTACCACAATTAATCAACCTTGTTATATCACAGGAGGCCCCAGGGGTTTCCATGGTCAGGATGTCACCATAGCAGCCATGGTACAGGCGAGGGTGCAGGTGAGGATTCATAGAGTGAGTTAAAGAGTACAAGCCCTTAGAAGTACCTGGGAGGGCAGAAGGATGACCTGCATGAAATCTGTGAGAAAATGTTTCTTGAACTGATATAACAATATAGAGAAAAAGCAAATCCATAAGACAAAAACGGAAGATTCTCCCCTTCCTACTCTACTCTCATCTTTAAAAATTTGTAATACAGTGCTTAATTCTAAAGGATATGCAAAGCATTATGAAAATCATTATAGGTCTCAAAAACATTCCTGAAATCTTGATCACAAATAAAATTGCCATGCCTTCCCTGGTGGTGCAACAAGTTAAAGCACAGCACTGTGAAGCTTTCCGCAGCCACTGCAGCATGACCTAGATCCTCAGCCAGGGATCTGACCCATATGGTGCAGCAGACCTCTCCTGTCTCACTCACTGCTCCCCTCAGCAGTGTATTTCAGTACATCTGCCTGTTCTGATCCCCACTCTGTCTCTGGTGACTCCTCTTACTGTCCCTGCATCTCTAGCCTGTACCCCAGTTCTGTATGCATAAATAAATAAATCTTTACAAAAAAAGAAAAAGAAATAAAATTGCCACTAGCAGGAACTTTAAAAGAAATTTTAAAACACTACTGACTCTACTTCTGGGACAGTGAACATGTGAAATAACAATTAACTTGTTTTAGAAGGATAAGAAAGAAAGTTAACATTAACTTAAAATAGTTGTTTCATAACATGCTGCTGTGATATTTATTTTCTATCTAATAAAGTTGGAGATAAAATTTATGATCATAAAATTTAAATCTATTCTTATTTTTAATTTTGTCATTTTGAAGTGACTTCTAAATCTGTTTATTACAAGAGATAAAGAGCTTTTCTTTAAGTTGAAAAGTTTGTTATAATAGATTTGTGGATTGTTGACATGCACCTAAAGACTACAAATGTTTGTTGTAAGAAATTGTATTTCCTAAAATGTTTGATGAAAAACACAATGTTGTTTCACTTTGCATTGTAAATAATGTTTTTGAATGACAGATGGGTTTTTACCTATCCTACATGCCTTCCAGATACCTGCCTCAAGATCTAGTTCTGATTAAATTGATGGTATAAATATCACTTAGCTTTGGTCAGACAGCTGATGAAATTATTTCTTACAAATATTTATTTTAAAAAAAAAAACATAAAAGTAAAGGTATAGGGGCCCTCCCTGGTGGTGCAGTGGGTTGAAGCACAGCACTAAGAAGCTAAGGCCACTTGCACATGAGTTCAATACCTGCCTGCCCCAGAGGTGACCACATGGTGTGGCAGACCTCTCCTGACCCGCCCACTGCTCCCCTCAGCAGTGTACTTCATCGATCTGCCT